TCTGTGCTATTGAAAAAGAAAAACTAGCCCTGGTCCGTGTAGCTTAGTTGGCAGGTTTGATACCCAGTCAAGGCACATACCCAGGTTTCAGGTTCAATCTCCAGTCGGGGAAGGCAACCAATCTCTCTCTCCCCCTCTCCGTCCCTCCATCCCTCTCCACCCCTCTTCCAGTCCCTCCCTCCTTCCCCCCTCTCTCTTCCTCTAAAATCAATTTTAAAAAAGACTAGATTTCTAACCACTAAGAACATGCTGAGTGCTTGTTATATACCTTATATCTAGGCAATAAGACCTACTGATTTATTGAATGAGTGCATGGTTAAGTAAATGTATTAGAAGGAATGCTTACAGAAGAGACTGGCAAAAACATGGAGACAGTAACATTAGAATGTTAACAGAAAAAAAACCAAGCTATAAAACTATGTACAGTGAATGATTCCAACCATTAAACATGTACCCAGTGGAGGAGAAACAAGAAGGAAATAAAGCAACTGTAACAAAGGCTCTCTTTACATATTGGAGCTAGAGATGGCTGGGCTGTGAGGAGAGGGGAGCTTTTCTGTATTTTCCAAAATGAGCATATATTGTTTTCACAGTTAAAATTACTGTGTGTGTTTTTTAAGCATATGTTCAAGATGGTGTGGTTACAGCCAAATGCTGAGGTCAAGAGAGGTGTGGGTGCTCTGGTAGCTCTGACACCACAAGTTATACCCAAGGCTATCATCAGTCCTGAATATTCCAAACACCACTAACTCCTCTACTCCCCACTCTGACCAAGCACTAAAGTAGCTCCCAAACAGCAGGACCCCCTGCTGGTCTTATCACATCTTGGATGATGCTGTAGTACCTTTTTCACTTGACCATGGCCACCCCAGCTCTGCGTGGTAAGCAGTGGTTGAGGTTGAGCCAAGCTCTGTATGGTCAGCAGATTCAAACGGACAACTTACTCTGTGCTTCAACATGTCCAAATCCAATTCCATTCAGATCAGGTGATCTGCAATTCTTTGAATATTTACATGCAAAATTGTACGTAATGGCAAATAATTCAATTACAAAATAGGCAAAAGATTTGAATAGGCATCTCTTCAAGGAAGATATATAGATGGCCAATATGAGCATGAAAAGACGCTCAACGCCATCAGTCATTAGAAAAATGCAAATAAAAACTACAATGAGAAGCTGCTTCACATCTAGAGTGGATATAAAAATAATTTTTAAAAAGGACAATAACAAGTATTGAAGAGGAGGTAGAAAAAATGGAACCCTCATATTGCTAATGGAGATGTAAACTGGTGTAGCTCCAACGGAAAACAGTTTAGTGGTTCCTCAAAAGTTAAACATGAAATTGCCATATGACCCAGCAATTCCACTCAGGTATACACATCCAAGAGGACTGAAGATATATTAAAAACTTGTACATGGCCCTGGCCAGGTGGCTCAGTCGGTTGGAGCATCGTCTCACAAACCAAAAGACTGCAGGTTCGATTCCCAGACAGGTAACATACCTGGGTTGTGGGTTCGATCTCCAGTCAATGTTTTCTCTCTCACATCTCTCTCTCTCTCTCTCAAAATTCAATAAAAACATACCTTCGGGTGAGGATTAAATACACACAGTTGCATATGAATCATCATGGCAGCACTATTCACAATTGCCAAAATATGGAAATAACCCAAATGCCCATCAAGTAACGAATGGATAAACGAAATGTGGTATATCCATACAATGGCATATTATTCAGCCATAAAGTGGAATGAAGTACTAATACATGCTACAACATGGACAGACCCTGAAAACATACTTAATGAAAGAAATCAAACACAAAAGGCCACATACTATTTAATTCTAGATTAGTGGTTGCTAGGGATGGGAAGAGGGGAGAACAGGGAGTGACTGCGAACGTCTACAGGGTTTCTTCTGGGAGTGATGAAAATGTTCTGGAAGTAAGACAGTGGTGATGGTTGCATAACTTTGTGAACATACTAAAAAATACTGAATTGTACGCTTTAAAATGGTGAATTTATAATATATAAATTCTATCTGAAAAAAGTGAGAGATATTCTACAAAATAATTAACCAGTCCTCTTCAAAAGTTTAGTCATGAAAGGAAAAAAAGACTGAGGAACAGCCTCAGACTGAAAGAAACATGGAGGCATGAGAACTAAGGGCAATGTGGGAAATTAGACTGGATCCTGGAACAGAAAAAGGACATTAGCGAGGCAAGGGGCAAATTTTGAATAAAGTCTACAGCTGAGTTAGTAGTATTATATTAATGTTAAATTTCTTGTTTAATTTTAATATGGTTGTGTAAAATGTAGGGAAAGCTGGGTGAAGAGTATACAGGAAGTCTATGTATTCTTTCTGCAAGTCTAAAATTATTTTAAAATAGAAGTTAAAAAAAAAGTATGTGATACAGGTTAGGGGCTGGCAAGTTTTTTCTGTAAAGCACCATATAGTTAAAAACTTTAGACTCTGTGGACTACATGGTTTGTGGGGCAACAACTCAACTCTGCTGCCCAAGACAATATGTAAATTAACAAGTATGGCTGTGTTCCAATAAAACCTTACTTATAAACACTGGAATGTGATTTTCATATACCACAAAATATTATTATTCTCTTGATTTAGTTCCCACCATTTTAAAATGCAAAAAAACCCCCCAAAACCCTCGCAAAACAAGCCACCACAAAACATTCCCAGCTCCCAGGCCATGCAAAAACAGGCAGTGGGACCAAATTTGGACCCCAGTCCATAGACTGCAGACTCCTGCTCTGGGTCAGAATTTGCCAATGTGTGCTTCAATTAGAAAAAAGTGCTTCACATCAATTAAGTTTGGCAACACTAGATTAAACAGGGTTAGGCACATTTCTTTATTGCAGGATGTCTCAGTGCCTTTAATGTGGTACTATACACTGAGAAGCCCCAAAAAGGGATAGTGATATGAAACTTTTCCCAAACTTATTATTACCACAGAACACTCTTTTCAGAGGTATCTCTTCAGACTAGTGGCTTGAAAAACACACTACGTAAATGACAATTTGGTACTTTTTTAAAAAGAAATTTTCAGATTGAGAAGCTTTAAAAACATGATCACCAAGTTAAAATCATTTTACCCAAATGATATCTGAATAAGCATGTCACAATTTTTTTTTTAATCCTAGGAAACACACACAAGGCAAGAAGATAAATACAGAAAGGAAGTCTTGGCTGAAACCCAATCTTTTTGGGGGGGGGGGTGGAAAGCATGTCAGCAGACTTGGGTCATAATATGGAATCTGCGTTCCATAGGACAACATAAGCGTTCTAACAGGTTTTGAAAAAGCAATCTGCTTGGGGGTTTATAAATCACAAAATAAGGAGCTTTGATGTTTGACTGGAAAACTAAAGATCCACTAGGAGAACCATCTGCAGATTACCCACAAGAGAAGATGAACTGGCAAGTCAAGTCCAAAAAAGGACTGGTTTTAAATGTTGGTTGGGATGTTAGCTGACAGACTGCAAAAATTCTCTTGGTAGACACCCCATCTATACAACACAGTGCTGGAGATAGGCTTAAAGAGGGATTTATGTCTCAAGAGGAAAGGCTGGCCTGAACAACTTCAAGGGACCCTTCAGACTGAGACTCCTCAATACCGGGATTCAAAGAGTTCACTGGCTTCTCCTGATCAAACAAAGTCTTCAGAGGCATTCCCAAGTTGTTCTAAGAAAAGCTACAAACCCATGGGATGGGGATCCTGCTTGGTTATTCATTCAACAAACACTTTAAGGAGCCCTTATCATATGGGCCATTCCAAAGTCCTTGAAACGGATGGTTCCCAGGACAACCAGGAAGAGATTACATAGGGTACATTACATTCAAACACACCGACCTTACTTTCACAAGATGTAGGCTGGAAGTGTCAAGATGAGGGCAGAAAAAAAGAAGCTGGTCAGCGCCAGAAAGACTCAAATAACGACTCAGAATCAGACACTTTCAAGTTGGAAAGGACTGCCGTCTGATACCTGTACACCTCCTTCAACAGGGAGTTCACTCTTTGGAGGCAATTCCCTTGCTGCATTAAGTTCTTCTATATTTTGAATCAAAATCTTCGGCTTCCTGTAGAACCGCCTGTTGGTCCTAGTTGTGCCTCTTTCAAATCCGAAGATGAAACGGAAGCCCTCTTTGCCATAACGACCTTTTCAGTTACTAAAGACAGTGCCCTTCCATTGCTCTCTTTTCTAGGGTAAACATTCCAGTTCTTTGGAAGATCCTGAATAGGCTCCAGCTGCCTCAAAGCAAAGCCAGTACTCACAGCAGGAAAGCACTTAAGATCCGTGGGCTTCAAATACCAGTACGTACAGGATCCCCCGAGGCGTGCGTTCAAAACGCAGTTTCCCAGGTTCCGACCCAGATTCTACAGATGAGGTCTTACTTGGGTCGCCATGGTAAAGCCTGCACCCCCAGGGCATTTCAAAGCATATGGTGTGAGAGCGGTATTTTTGAGGAACACTGCCCTGTTTTACAAATGAGGAAACTGAGGCGAGGCGAGGCACGCCACGGGGAGGGGGTTTGGCCCAGAACGCACGATTCATCGGCTGTTGGCGGCGAAGTCTCGAACCGGGGTCGCTCACTCCCAAGCCCAACTCTGATCACCAAGCTTCCGGGCCTCGGCTTCTCCACTCGGGCCAAACTCATTATAAGTACGAGAGGTGGCCTCGAGCGGCGGGGGGGGCAGAAAGAGTTAAAAGTGAGTCCTTGCCAGAAAGGGAGAGCTCGCGGGGAGCCTTTTCCCTTCTCGGGGCCTCAGTTTCCCCAAACTGTAATCACGGGAAGTAAGACCACAATGCCAGCCCGACCTCTCTTCTGAAGCAAAGGGCCCTAGGCCAAACCAGGCGTGCTGTCTCCGCGACCCTGGGCTCAGGTGTCGCAGCCCGCGGGCCCCGTGAAGGAGGAACGCGGTCCCCCACCCCCTAAACCTCGACGGCCCCTCCTTGCTCCCCCACTCCCCACCAGCCCCTCACGAACCTGCCGCTGCTCAACTAACGCCGCCGAGGCCGCCTCCGCCTCTCCTTCCGTCGACCGCTCCGCCAGTCTGTCCGCCTCGTCAGTCTCTCCCGCAGGACCTCGGACCCCTCCTACGCGGACTCCGATCACCTGACGTCAAGAGGCGGGTCTCCCAGGTACTTCCGGCCGCAACCGGAAAAGGCTGGTCCGCTGCGCCGCGGTTCCGTCCACGTCCCGGGCTCTAAGGTTCCGCCCGCGGGTGGGAAGCGGAGGAGCCTAGGGCTATGGCAGCAATTCCAAGAGCCTTGGTCAGGGCGAGGGAAGTACGGGAGAAGCTTGGGACAGCTGGTGGCACCGGAATGCGGGGACGATGGGAATCCGCATGACGGGACTATGTCAGAGGACACGGGAGCTGACTTGAAGGAGATCCCACTGACCAAACCCTGGCACTCGGAGCATCAAAATACATGTAGATAGTTCAATAGTTTAATTGAACAAGATGGTAACCCATTAGTCTTTACTGATATAAATAAAGAGGTGGATAAATAAATGGGAGAGAATGCCAGCTAGCAAACATGATGGAGTTAGAAAATCAATAATGAGTGCTAATGCTCCGCGGAACCAGCGCTGTTTATTTCGTCGTGATCTTCTTATTAAAAACGTTCCCAAGAAATAACAATTGGAACTACCGAACTTGGGAAAACTTAACTTTCAAAAACATATTAAGTAATATTGTCTCTGCTTTAGCACACTGAGGTACTTCTAGGTTCCAGAAGCTCCGTTGGGGATGTTTGCATGTATCCTGCTAGAACCCAGCGTGGGTTTCATATTATTTGATGCCTACAACAAATTGTGCTGAATACAAATATATTCATTCCAGTGGGAAAGAATAAAGTAAACAAATGTTCTGATTTCTCTCCCTGCTTGCTCTGAGCATCTGAAGGTTCTCGTTTGAATAGCTAACCTTCCTTCTGCCCCCACCCCCACTTACTTCTTTAATGCTAATACTGGCAGCTGATATTTATTGAATGTTTATTAAAGTGCCACAGAGCTTTATGCAATTTAACCCTCACCCCAAATTGTGAAGCAAGTATTATTACTTAGGAGGAGCTAGAGGCCCAGCGAAGTTAAGCAACATGCCCAAGGACACACAGCTGGTAAGAATCAGCCTCAAGATTAGAATCTGCCTACAAACATTCTCCTGTTGAAATGCTGCCTCACCACCGTGGGCCAGAGAGGGGGGTCTGTGGAGGGATGGAGGAAGGGATGGGGCAGGGGCATAGGGGAGTCCATGCAGAGGCATTCAGCTCTCTCAAGTGCAGAGGAGAGGGGTGGGGATTAGAAGCACAAGACAGGTAGAAGGCCATTGCAGAGCTTCAGAGGGAAGAGGGACCTGAGTCGAGGGTTTGGGGGGCCAGGAAGGTTGAGTAGTGGGAAAGGGCAAGTTTCTGGGTGAGAGAGAGGTGTGATTAAGGACCTGAGGCCTCAGGTGTATATCTGACAAGTGAGGAGAGACAAGGAGTCTCGGGGACCTTCTCGCCTATTTGATCTGTTAAGACTCACAGGTTCCAAATTTTCTCTGGGCCTCAGTTTTCTCTTCTGTTCAATGCAAGGAGAGAAGATCCCAGGAACCAGCCCAGCTCTGGAAGGTGGTGAGGAAGTGGCATCTCTTTTTCCTCGATTCTTCGCACCTGACATGGGGTTGAAAGGCAATGTGATGGGGCATCTCAGTAACAGAGTGTTAGAAGGGACATTTTTGATTTGGGTTTGTGTTAGGTAATTTGAGGGAGGGCTAAGGAAGCAAGGTATTGATCTGGCCTGTCTCCACCCCACGCTGGGGTTAGTCTGTCCTTTTGAGTACAGGAAGCTCAGAGAGGAAGACCATGTGGGCAGACAGAAGGGAGAGTAAGCCAGAGGAAGCACCATCTAATCCTCCTCAACCCCAACCCTTCCATGGAAGAGGTGAGACACTTAGGAGCATGGCCTCATTGGTTACCTAACCTGAGGCAAATGTTCAAATCCTTGCTGTGTGCCTTCAGGCATATAACCTAATCCCTGGACCTTACGTTCCTCTCATTCTCTGTGCTTGGGTCCTAAGGTTAGGCCAAAGGCCACTTACTGTCAAGCTTACCGTCCCAGGACAGCTCAGGGTCTGTTAATTGTGCCTCTCACTGGGATCTAGCCCAAGGCACTGTCCACATAGTGACCCTGCTGACCAAGGGCAGGGTCTCACTTGGGTCAGAAGCAGAGTGAACCAGCCTGACTTCCCAGGTTTGGGTCTGGATAGTATTATTTGTTTAGAGACATGGCCACTAGGTGGTATCAAGGCCATATTCTGGGATCTTCTGAGAGCTGGGTCAGGAGGATGCTATTCTGGGAGTTAGGCTCTTATCTGAGGATTCTGGGATATTCCCAACACAGATGAGGCATGGGCAAAAATATAGGAAACTAGGTAAGGGAAGAACTAGTGAAGGAGAGAAAATCTGGAAGGCACTAAGAATTCATGGGATCCAACCCCTGGGCTGTGTGGGGAGGGAGGTGGGGCACTCCTTGAGCAGCCAGTCTCTGCCCTGCAACTATAGGAGCCCAGGAAGGAAGGAAGGAATGTTTGCTTAGGGCCTACTACGTGCCAGGAATTATGGGGAAATCTTTTTCTTATATTTTTCTCAGTGAGTCCTTTTAATAGATAATTGAGGAATAAATTATTAACCATTTTTACAGAGGAGGAAAGTGAAGCTCAAAGAGGTGAAGAAATGTGGTCAGTGTCACAAACCGAGGGAGAAGAGCTGAATTTTGTGCTTCTGAGTCCTGGAGGATGAGCTATAGGTTGAGTGGCCAAATAAAATACAGGATGCCCAGTGAAATCTGAATTTTGCATAAACAACAAATGGGACATACTTATATTAAAAAATTACTTGTTTATCTGAAATTCAAACTTACCTCAGTGACTTTCATTTTTGCTAATCTAGAAATCCTTGATAGAGAGGATGCCCAGGACCCCCATAGCAAGAATGAGCAGAACTTAAGACTTTGGGATCCAGAAAAGAAATTTGAATGACACTGCAATGCCCTCTAAGGTCTGGGGAGTCCGAGGCACCAAGGCCAACTGGTGTGCCACCTGCTGCCTGGCCACCAGGGGGCAGCCGAGGTCTGCACAGGTTCTGATCTGGTGACTGGAAATTTTCCCAGGCCCCGGGACAATGAAGGCCTAAGGGACCGAGTTCCTCAGACTCTGATTTTTCCCATTCTGCACCCCATCTGTTCACCTTCAGCCTCCCCCATACCAGCAAATTCCCCCACCCTTTGTCCATCCATGTTCAGGCCAGAAACCTGGGAATTACTCTTTTTTTCCTCAAGACTTGATGTAATTTGCATGCAGAAAAGGTCTGTTTGGCTCTACAAATTTTTACATACACACTCATGCATCTACGATGCAGATAAAGATACAGAGCTGCATATCCAATACAGTGGACTTTAGCCTCAGGTAATGAGTGCTTGAAATGTGGAATCTGAATTGAGATGCACTATGAGTATAAAATACTCTCCAGATTTCAAAGACTTGGTATGAAAAAAGAACATAAATGAGCTCACTAATAATTTAAAAATATTGATTACATATTGAAATAACATTTTACACATGGATTATATACAGTGTATTATTAGAATTTACTTCACCAGTTTCTTTTACTTTTAAACTGTGGCTAGAAAATTTTAAATTGAATTTATGGCTCACATTAGAGCTCTTTTGTTTAGCGCTGGAGCAGACAGAATCTGATTTATTCACATGTAAAATAGGGACTCAGAAAGGTGGAGTCATTGGCTGATGTTTCCATTGCCCAACAGTGGCAGAGTTGGGTGGGAAATCAGGTCAGTTTGAACCCTGAGCCCATGGATCCCCACAGTGTCCCCCTCCCCAGCCCCTGACCTGAATGGACTGCTATTTGACCTCTTCCAGGATCGTATCCTGTTTGAGACTTCAGTCCTCAGCAGGGACCTAAAGTACGCTTGCCCATCCTGGGTTGGGGGGTGTCAGGGTAGAGGGCTTCCTGTAGGGGGTGATTAAACTGACACTTGAAGGATGAGTAGGAACAAGCCAGGTGAAGGAGAGGGAAGAGTGTTTTAGGTAAAGGGGACAACCTGCTCAAAGGCCCTCCTGGTGACTGAGGAAATAAGAGTAGCTCTGTGTGGCTGCAGCACTGGGGAGCTGGGGAGGTCAGCCTGGCTCAGATCCTGCAGGGCATGACAGGCTTCAACTTGATGGCCAGGAGAGGGATAAGGGACAGACCTGGCCAGTCTTGTGTTTTGGAAAGATCAGGACTGCTGCTATTTGGAGAACCCTTATTCAGAGGGTAGAGCCCAGACAAGAAAGACCAGGAAGGTGCTAGAAGGGACCAGGAAAGGAGCAGAGTTCCTCCTTTAGGAGTTTCTCTAGGAGGTGCTGGCTTTAGGTGCCCACTAGGTGGCAGCAGAGGCTGGACCGAATTCTGAGGGCTCGGGCAGGGCCCACCCTGCTGTGCCACAGGCCTTCCTGCTTTCACCTTCTGACCTGGGCGTAAAGGGGCTGCTCCCTGGGCGCTCTTGTCCAGATCCCAGAGCAGCAAGGAGAACCTTGGCTGTCAAGAGGCTCAAGGTCTGGTCCTAGCTCCAGTTCTCCTCTGCCATTGATTGACCTTGGGCAAATCCACAGATAAAACTGTGCTTCAGAACTTGAGTCCTCGGCTATAGAAATGGGAGTTGTTATTTAGTCTGCCAGTCAGGCCTCCCTAGGAGCCTCTTGATTCTCCTCCTATGCTCCCCACCCACCCTCTTCATCCTGCTGAGTGAGTGAGACTCCCAGGGCCCCTCACACCCATATATATGCTGCCTGCAAGAGACCTGCTTCAGAATGAAAGATACACAGAGATTAAAAGTAAAGGGATGGAAAAAGATATTTCGCGCAAATGGAAATGAAAACAAAACAAAACAAAGTTGAAGAAGCAATACTTATATCTGACAAAGTCTATAGTAAGAGACAAAGAAGGACATAACATAATGATAAAACGAGCATCCAATGTAGCAGCACCCAAATAGGTAAAGCAAATCTTGATGAACGTAAAG